GAACAACCTGTCCAGCAAGCGGGGACAAAAAATCTGCTTGTACGAAGCAGCAGGCACATGTCGGCCCTGCACTGCCTATGTAACTTGTTTTTGCTTGAATATTGCAAATAAAATCACCCCCAAGCACAAACAAAAAAAACTCGGCTTTGCTGGTAACCTCGACTACATTCTCTGTGTGTGATTACTTATAAACAGCAGATTATTTGCATAACCACTTAGTTTCAGTTCGTGCATATGCATCTTGTATGCTGACATCAAAAGCTATTGACAATTTTAATCTTTTCTTAAGTATGCTACTGCAGCTCTGTGCTGCTTGCGAAAAAGGCCATCCCACGGAAATGACTTCATTTTCTAAGCAAAGTAGGTTTCCATCCGTGATAAATCGGCCGTTCGTAACCATAGGCTGCAGGAAAAAAAAGAAACAGGGTATAAGACTTCTGTGTCAATACTCCTTTACCATTGCTGTTGTGCTTTACACTACCCCAGTGCTGAGTGAAGGCAAAAATTAGATGTTAATTCTCAAGCATCTGCACAGCCTCATTTCCTTCAAAAATAAATAAACGAATAAATAAGCTCGTGATTACAATCCTATAATGCGTCTTCGTTCACCAAGAAAATATGATACTGTATGCAATCCCGCGTCAATCTTTGTCACCCTGATCGAGCGAGTTGGAAAGAAAAATACTTTATTTCTCCTGTAACATTACATTAAGGTGGCAAGAGCAAAAGGCACCACAGCCTGCTCCGAATGAGTTAGAGATAAAAAAAGCGCACTGCTGACACAGGGGCATTAATATGCCCTTGTGTCACTCTGATTCACGAGGTTTTCATCGGGGACATTGACAGAAAAAAATTGCGTGAGAAAACTTTGTCACACACTTGGACTGATACACACGAAAGTTAGCAAAGCTTGCGAGGCCTGAATACGACAAAAGTTGCTGTCAAGCAAGCGTTTCATTGAGGGCTACAAGTCGTCAACCTATCTGTTTCAAACGGCGTGCCGTCAAGTGCAAGCTCACGTCCTAGACAAGCTTATGTTGAGTAAAATTAGAGCCCGTCACCACTGCTGCAACGACTCGCGTGCAGTCGGAGTTCCGAAAATAACAGTGCACAACATTAAGCTCAGGTTTCATTTACTGACAGCGCTGCTGATGTCTTATCCTCTGAGCGTATCACAGTTGCGTCAAATGTTTTTATTTGAGGCCTGTTGGGCCAACAAACACGGAATTCACAGTAGGAATAGGTCCGCGCGCGTCGTCTGCTGGCACACTGAGCCGCCAGCTGACTGAGATTGTTTACTTTTCTGTATGCGTCTTGTCTTCGGTAAGCAAACATTCTCATAAGTTCAAGTTTAGTTAGTATGTTAGCATAGTTTCAGCGAGAAATTATAATGTAAATAATGTCCTGAAGGAGCCGGACTTTCGGCCGCGACGTACCCGAGAAGAAAAAAAAAATGCAAGCGTAGCCTGCGGCGGCCGCTCAGCGAGATGGCCTTTCTTTGACTGTAGCGCCCCTAGCGGCCGGCGGTAGCTCTATATTAAACTGAGGTGGCAGTTTCGTGACCAAAACAAAGAAATTTAAGGACTATGACCGCGCCAACGGCCTAGCTAAGAAACTAATATTAAAGTGCGACTGTTGTGGCGAAGTGACGACGGCACGGAAGTTGCACAAAGTCGATAATAAAAAGTCGTTCGATGCATTTGAGATAAACGTTTTATCCATGCGTGTAATGCTCTGTAGTGGGAACGGCCAGACATTTGTGAACAATATTTTTGCGATGATGGGACTGTCGCGATGGGGGCCTGCACAATAAAACGTACCAACGGCAACTTTTGTTTACCTGGTTCCCCAATGTTGCATTTCTGATGGTGTCATATTGGAGCAACAATATCTCCGATTCCTCGCAACTAGTCTCAATAACTCTTTGTCAGAAAGGTGGTGAATTGCTAAGTGCAGTAGGACTAGTATAAAATTACATATCAATAAAGAACATCTATAAAAATAATTTTTCAGAGTTATTATTGGGCTTTACAAATAAATTGTCAGATGCCCTAATTTTATTCGAGATTGTTGTACAAGATTTGTTGCCTTATTGAACCCATATATCATCCTCGATCACCGCAGTGTTCAAAAGATTTCCATAATTATTTCTAAACTTGTCCTGAAATGTTTTTCCTCGTTTTCTTAAAACTGCGTTTTTGATCATGGTGTAGTTTTGGAATGACAATTCCTCTGGTAGTACTTGTCCTATCACAGTGATTGTTGGTTTGTCTGAAAAAGGGACAAATGGGGATTGCAGTGGGTATAAAATTTGAACGAATAAAATGAGAGATCTTTTCAAAAATTAATAATAGTTCCAATATATTACTAAAGCATTTTGCTTACAAATGTTTGACATGCTGTAACTTTGGCCCAAATCAGTCTAAAACATTCATTCTTGTAGCACTGCAAGCTCTGACCATACAACATTATTTTCATATGCCACTGTCCTTTATCTCAACCAGCATTCAAGAGAAAACTCACCTACTAATTAGTCAATGCAAAAATTCATGAATTCTCAGTATTTTGAAAAGCACTAGTCGCACAGAAAAAGTGATTGCATATTTGAAATCTGCATGTCGAAGTAAATAAAGAATGGAAGTTTGATCAAAATTCACCCATAAATAAAAAAAATGTTAAGTGGGGGTGTCCCTCCATGTTCAGAAAGTTTCCTTGTAGCGCATGTAAAGGACAGGAATATGTCTGTCTATATGTGCCTTCATTTCTTCCTTTCTTTTATGTGTGCTACAAGAAAACTTGCTGCAATGATTTGTCACACACTGCAATTGCATTCTCTCTTTTCATTCCGACGAAAGCACTGAAATCTAAGCAGGGAGGAATAGCATGGGGAAAGAAAATAGATCACGCCCGCCTTGTGACTTTGAGCAGTTTTCTCTCTCTCTCTGAGAGGGCATTTTTTAGCTGAATGAAAATTTATTGTGAACTACAGGCCATGCGCTATGTTACCATATTTGGTTCGCGGTTTCTCAGTAGCCTTGACTACCAATCAGCAGCGTTTTCTAGCCATGCTCAATAAGTGTTGCAAGACCCCTTTAAATTACATGTGGCGCTTCGTGGCAGACCGTATTTGGGCTTTGCAGCAGAACGTACTTTCCCTAGATAGGTGCTTTCACAGTTTAGCACTACAACATCGCAGTGAAACAACCTTTAAGAACAGTTAGATGCAGATTAATATACAGTTGAACCCGTTTAAAATGAACTTGAAAGTGCCGTGATAAATGGTCGTTATATCAGTAACTCGTTGTATATGAACCCGCCCATAAAAACACCCCTTTAGTGGCCAAACTTGTTTTGTTTTCTCAGGTGCATTTTTATTCAAAAAGGCAAACAACCTCTGCGCTGACAAGCTAAGACTTTTTGAGTGCTAAATGACGCCCGTTCGCTCACAAGTAAATTCCACCACGTTAGTGATAAACACAAGGCAATTCTTTGTGGTTCTACTGAAGCATGATACCACCACGTTGAGCCGATTATCCCCGGCTAGTTGCGTGCAACACGTCGCTTACTCGGCTCTCGCCGTCGCATGCCAGTTTGCTTTGAGTGAAATGTATGCGCGCGTTCGCGCTTTTATCACGCACGTATCACTCAGGATCATGCTTGGGTGTGGCGAGTAGCCTGTTCGTTAACACAAAGAAGAATTTTGCGAGGAACGTGTGCAAGCAGCCTCGCACGACGCGGTGAACTTGCGAACGGCAGCATGACGCGCTTGTACCGCAGTTTGATGTGCAGCTATCTGAAGATGACTGTGATAAGCTTGCCTGCGATGCAGCCATGGCACATTCAACTCCACTGGCCACTTCGTCATCGCTCTTTTCTGATGGTTATGTGTTAAGGCACCGCCGCAATCGCGCGAAAGTCATCACTAATCAGCCGGTCTCTGTCGTTACTGAAAGGTGGAAAACCTTTTGCGGCACATTGTGGTGTCCAAGGTTGAGAGTCGCCGTGATCTTATATGCAACAAAAGTTATCTCATCTCGCAATTGTGGCTTCTTGTGTTCGAAAGCATTGTTGATTAATCATCGCCGGTCGTAGATGCCGAGAGCGGCGTCACAAAAGTTTTCTTTCTTTATTTCTTTGTTTGTTTATTAGTTTATTAAAAACAGTTACAAAATTATCCGAGAAGACACGGCTAAAGGCAAACAGTGCCTGACTGTGCCGTGCCACCCATACAGCAGCAGCAGAAGGAAAATGTACTTACAAATATAAAAGGGTACATGAAAATCAAATACTACATCCCAGATCAATGTTGCACAGCCATAGAGAACTAAGAAAAAGAAAAGAAAACATAAGCATGTTTTTTTTTCTCACTTCCATAGCACCAAGTACTACTCTACGTCCCAGGGAAGCTCTTGGCCACTGCCGATACACTTTGACATGCACCACTGCAGGCAGAAATGCTCACCGTGAAACCACTGCCTCTGCAACTAGTTTCAGTTGTGCACCTTTACAAAAACTACAGCCATAGCATTGGCATTCAATAGAGCAAGTGTATGGCACCCTGTCTGCCTTTAGAGCATTATTATCGTAAATAATTGATTGATTGATTGATTGATTGATTGATTTGTAGGGTTTAACGTCCCAAAACCACCATAAGATTATGAGAGACGCCGTAGTGGAGGACTACGGAAATTTTGACCACCTGGGGTTCTTTAACGTGCACCCAAATCTGAGCACACGGGCCTACAACATTTCCGCCTCCATCGGAAATGCAGCCGCCGCAGCCGGGATATGAACCCGTGACCTGCAGGTCAGCAGCCGAGTACCTTAGCTACTAGACCACCGTGGCGCGGCATTATCGTAAATAAGAAATTATCTTTCAGACTACAACATTAGTGTGAATAAACAGCAATAAGATTGCTGAAATAATAGCTTTTGCAATTCAATTGGGTTGTTACTAAGAGACTTCCCTGCGTAAGCTGGCCCTCGCAGCCACTACTCACCCAAAGTCAAAATCAGTAGTGAACTGCCCCTTCATCTTCTGAAAGACGGGATCCTGAGCGGTGGCCTGTGCACGGCGGGCCAACGACTCCGAGGCGGCACTAGAAAAGGTGGTGGTCACAGAGGAGACATTCTCAATGCCCACCCCAAAGGTGGACACCAGCTTCTTGAGGAAATTGAGGGTGTGCGGTGTCACGGTAGCATCTGCCACTCCTCCCCGGTTCTCAAAGGCCACTGCATAGCACTTGGCCAGCCCCTGGCGCAACTGCCGCAGAACCTCTTCATACCAGTTTTCGCGGAACCACACCATCTGCAAAGTACCAAAGCTTTTATGACACAACATAACAAGCTCAGGCAACAAGAGAAGAATGTCAGAGAAAAACTCATTTCATTATGACACAGTTGTTTGATTATCAAGCCTTATTTTTTCACCTTCAGCAGTTTTTCCCATTGCTTCAAGAAAACAATTACCAACACTATCACTAGTGTTTTAGTGAAAAAACAAATCAAGAAGTAAGAAATGATATACACACACACACACACAAAAAAAGAGTTCAATGAGCCTATCAGTAACAATGATACTCGTTGAACTTTCACATTAATGTAATCCCTCATTATGAAGTAGTAGAAAAACAAAAAAATTTGTTATAAGTGGTATTCTCATATCAGCGACCACTCATGAGAAACTAGAGCATTTGAGCTTTAACCTTTAGTTGTAGCGCTACAACTGCAAGGCAGCTACAACACAATGTATTCAGTGAAGCAGCGAAAAAAAAAAAGCACTGAATAACACAAGCACATAGTCAATTGCATAGTCTACCCCATGAAATGGTATGGTGCAAGTCAGCGTAGTCTTTGGGTCACTTTTTGGCCTTCAAGAAACCGCAGTTTTTTGGCATTCCACATCACCAGAAAAACTTTATTTAGACGTTGATTCTGTCACGGGGAAGATTGGCGATGCGATTATGACTGATTAACAGTTCAGGTGCACTGCCCCATAAATCGTCTGTGAATCTCGCATCCGTGAATTGCAAAATTGCAGGAATTAAAACCAATCTGAACGTCGTTGACATACGTGGAATAAAACATATTGCGTGAAATGTAGAAATGCAGTGTACTTATTTTTACAATAAAAAGTGTGCAACTCAACACACCACGCTGGGACACTCAAGTCTCCTTGACAAATGCTCGTGACAAGGCATTGCTCACTCAGACACCGTAAGTGCGGTTTGACAAATAACTTTCGATTATGGTCAGCATTTTACCTCGCACGCCCAAGTGTGAGAGGTCTCGCAGTATGCCGAAATACCATGTCGTGTCGAATGTCTTTGCCATATCTAGGAATACTGAAAGAAAGAACTGTTTATGAACAAAAGCGTCATGGATTTGTGCCTTGATGCATAGCAAGTGGAAAGTGGTGGATCTAACCTCACGAAATCCGTACTGGTGTGGATCGAGTCAATTGTTTGATTCCAGGTAATAGGAGCCGGCAGTTAATAATCTTTTTGAAAAGCTTGTAGAGGCAACTTGTTAGTGCAATCAGTCTGTAGCTGGTAACGGAGGATAAATCCTTGCCTTGCTTTAGAATCGGAATAACAATGGCTTTTTTAAAGGCTGATGAAATCTCGCCAAAAAACCTAATAGCATTGTGCAGGGAGAGAAAATCTTTTTGAGTTACAGAGAGCAGGTGTTTTATTATTTCAAATACTACACGGTCCATGCCTGGTGATGAGTTGTTGCAGCAGTTCATCGATGCCTTTAGCTAAACTAACACAACGGTTCGTTGTATCTTTCATGTTTTGTGAATCTCCACTATAGTTTGTTTTTAGGTTAATGTTTTGCATTGTTGGAATGATGTGGTGCAGTGCGATTAGCTGGAGATCTGTTCGAAATGTGCCCCGTGGGTGTTTGCCTGATCTTCCAAGCTGTCTCCTTGTGTGTTTTCTAGGGGAAGTGAATGAGATTGCCATCCTGCTACCTTTCCTACCATGTTCTGGACCCTCACCTCTAGTGTATACGAATTTATTCCAGATAGAAACTTATGCCAGCTTTCCTTTCTCGCCTGTCTGCATGTTCTTCTGCCTTGGGATTTTTGTGCTTGAAATCGTCAAGGTTCTTGGCTGTCGGTGAGTTCCCAAGCAACTTTTTAACAGGAACGTTTTTAATCTTGACGAAGCTGCTCTCTTTTATAAGATGTTGCCTAACCGCATTTACACACCAAAATGCGAAGCGGGCTCAGGTGCCAAGCAATGCAAAAACAGAATTATCATTCTTTTTGGTGCCATTGCTACCAGCGATGAAAAGCTGCCTCTCCTCATCAATGGCCAGTCCCTTGATTCTCGGTGTTTTCGAAATGCACGGCTCTCGAGGGATGTGGCATACCGCGCAAATAAAACAGTCTGGATGATAGCGGCGTTTTTCAAAGAGTATGTATGTGCACTTGATTGACCGGAAGATGGCTAAGAACGGTCGGAAAGTGTTGTTTGTTGTCGATAATTGCCCCGGTCAAGGAAAAATCAACAACTGTTGGCTGTTACACCAGAGTCCCTGCCACCAAATATGACGTTCGTTCTCCAGCCTATGGATGAGAGAGTCATTGAGATGGCCCGGAAATATTATAGGAAAAGCCTGCTGGAGAAGGGGGGGGAGGCACCGTATTTTGCTGTGATACGACAATGAGAAGAAGTATGAGATCGACCTGCTGGGTGCAGTCAATCTGATATTCAAAGCCTGGCACCAACTACGCCCCCTGGCGATTGCCAACTGCTTCGCTCATGCAGGGTTTTCTCGCGCCCCGGCATCAATCGAAGAAGACCTTGGTGCGAAATGCAGCGGCTGTGATAAGCTGTGCAGTAAAGTGCGCACAGGAACCGGCTGCATGAGCGATACTGAAGACAGGGAGATTGCCTTTGAAGAGTATGCGCTCTACGTGGCGGATGTCTTTGTTACCGGTAGACTGTCGGACCATGCAGAAAAGGAAGAGTCCCAAGAAGTGGCTACGACCACAGAAACGCGGAACATGCTGCGCTTGCTTCGCAACAGTCAAATGCAGCTGTGGAAACCAACGGCTCATGTGATGTGTTGAGCAACTGGAAAACACCTTTCTCGGACCGAACACGAACGCGATACAAGTGAGCATCACGCAGTTTTTTGGTCCTGGAAAATAAATTCTTTTTTTTTTTGCGAATTTTAGTGCCTTCTAGAGTAGCTGTCTCGTGCAGTGGGGCCTTTCCCGACAACACTGGCTTTTCTTTTGCAGTGACCTGGACAAAAATTTTCGGGGTTTTGCTTGACTCGAAATACTGCTTATCTCGAAATTTTCCCTGGATTTGACGGCTTCGAGTCAAAGAGGGATTACTGTACAGGTTTCACGCCTTTCCGCCTTATACACAGCCGAGAAGTAACCACAATGCTTGACGCCATGCTCCTTCCCGACAAGCTGGTAATGTTCAACACAGACGTTGCCATGTTCACTCAACATGCTCAAGAGGCCTGTGAGCTCTGGCAACGCCATATCCAACGTCACCAATCTGCAGACGCAGGCTGCTACAATCAAGTGACCTTCAACCCAGGTGATGAAGTGCGGGTGGGGACCCCCATCTGACAAGGCTTTTAGTCGGAAAAGTTGCTGCGTCGCTATTTCGGGTTCTACAAGCTTTTACAGCGACTCAGTGAGCCTACGAGGTTCTTCCAAAAGGCACCTCAAGAAACCTATGTCGGCTTCCACAAATTGAAGGCGTTCCTGTTTCTAAGCTTAAATCATAGTTTTCTCGCTGTGACTCAACTGTGACCTTACACTGTATTGACAATTTTGTGTGTTTTATTTTTTTTCAACTTGCTTTCCCGCCGCCGCTGCTGCAGCGGGCTCTGTACTGCGTTTTTAGTTGCCGCAGGCAATAAAGTGTTGCGACCTTTTGAGAGCAGTCTAGTGTTTTTGCCACGCTGTGCTAGGCCTCATGGGTGTCCGAACGCACGTGTGGAGAGGCGACGGTTAACACGTGCCCTGCGGCTCGCTAAGACCAGACGCACGCGAGTGGCCGTACTTCTTTGAGATATGTGTACACTACACTGACGCCCAATGTGTACCCTACAAACTGTCGACACTAAATATTCCTACGGTTTTGTTACATTGGATTGAGGCTTATCTTTCTGACTGAAAACAGTCTGATGTTCTTTACGGGACGAGTTCATCATATGGAACAGTCTTATCAGGTGTCCCCCAAAAATGTGTTCTAAGACCGCGTGCTCGTGTTATCACTATTGTAAATCGCACAGGCAAGTGCATCGCGAGTGCCACGGTGCATACGGAACACACTGGGGCGGCCGAAGAGGCGGCGATTGCTCTTGCACTGGTCCCAGGACCGGAGGCTGCGGTCGTGATTAGCGATTCGCAAGCTGCCGTCCGAGGCTTCGCACGGAGTCGCATCTCGTGTCTGGCGGCTCAGATACTACAGTCAAGTAATGGCTACAAGGACGGCGGCGAGCTTCGAGGAGCGATGGCCTCGGCGGCAGCATCCTCGTATCTCAAAACTGAAAATGCGAATGTTTTCCTTCTGCGGACCCCAGCTCACACCAGCGTCCCGCTCGCAGGTAACCAGGCAGCCCACGCCGCGGCTCGAGATCTCACTCACCGAGTCGCAGCCAATTCGGAGGCCGCCTTCACCTCCGAGAGCGGGGCGATGACACTGTCCACTCAACAACAACAACTGGAATGGTCGTGGGGTGACTGCTTGACCACATTCAACAACATTGCACAACGTTACAGACTAAAAAGACAGAAATACCCATCACTACACAACAAATTGAACAAAAGACAGGCTGTAACTCTGAGTTTATGACAGACAAATACTTACCCCAGCCCAACGATCCTACGCCTGTGTTATCCTCACCTATACCCGATGGACGCGTGTAAAGCGTGCTGGGAAAGGGCAACACTGTGGCACATGCTTTGGGAGTGTGCTGGAAAAGTTAACGTCACTGCCACCGCTCCCTTCGCGACGCATGTTAGGCAGGGAGGAACTTCGAGGCCACTTGTTTGGTACTGTTGCGCGAGGGCAGGGACTGGCCTCTGCCGCGACTGCGGTCACTGTTGCCGATCGGCGGCGTCAGCTGCGCTTCCGCTAGGAGGCGGCACTCACCAGTGATCAGCTGGCCGCCCAGCTTTGGGCCGTCCGGCTAGCTGAAGATGCCGCCCGGGTCCAAGGACTTCAAGCGGTCATCTGAGGCACTGCCATCATAATCGACTGCGAGTGGGAAGGGACAGGCGTTAATCTCTTCTTCCCCCACCTCGCCTGGTGAAAACTGCCGGAC